TACAAGCTTTTAAAGTACTTTCTAAGTAGCTGTTTAAAGGGCGTACTATTATCTTAACCGGAGGCGACAAGTTGCTCGGTAATTAGCGCTATTAGCTTCCGCTCGGTAAGGTAGCAATCGTAGGCTTTGCTTACTATGTCGATAATAACAAGCATATTAGGGAGAATATCTCTCGGTACGTCGGACGCTAGAGCGGTCGCGATCTAGTGTACTAGTATCGCTACTATAGTACGTAAACCGCTACTAAAGTCTAGCGCGAAATAATAGATCGTATTATAGAAAGGTCCGAACACCCGGTAACCTATAAGAAGTCCTAATTAGCGCTATAAAGAACTATTTCCGGGCCAATCGGCTGCCTAGGACACCTCGTAGATAGTCTCTAGCTATATGCCTACCGATACAAAGTTTAACGGGACGTTTAGGTTCTAGAGCTTATAGTTAACAAAGATTGTCGGGTTTAACGACTTGGAAGACAGAGAATCTTTCTAGAGGAGTACTTGTCCGTAGCTGTTAGCCGAGTACCTACTGTCTACTCCGTCGATTAGATGTAACAGTATAGACGATTTGGTACGCTTCCTAACTAGTAGCGTTATAATAGGAGCATCCTCCTCTACTAGTAAAAGGCTACTATATACCGTATCGTAAGTTCGTAACACGGTACCTCTACTCGAGCTACTAGATAACTAAGGCCCGTTACAAACTTGGAATACTATGTTCGCTATATATGTAAAGTCCTCTTAGTTCGAGGGGGTAACGATATATAAGCCGGTAGTATGTTAGGTATCTAATAGGTGATTTCCTATTATCCGGAATAAGAACTAGTAAACCCGGATCCTAGAACTAGGTCTAAGGGATAATAGCCGAACGTCTAAGACCTAGGACTCGTATCTAGTAGACTACGATAGGGCCTAGAGAGGCTCGTACGTTATTAGAGTCCTACTTCTGTCGAGGACTAGAAGTACGGCTAAACAGAAATGTTTCTCCTCGACCTTCGTACAACCTTAGCCTATAGTATAGCTACTATAATAATAAGGAATAAGCTACAATATCGGGCGACATAACGGAGAGGTAGCTCTCGATATACGCTCTCTATTAGGTAGGGGTTACTCGTATTAAGTTGTAAGATCTTTAAGTCTTTAAGGACAGCTCGGGTCTTTACCGGCCGATCTCGGAGCGTAACGTTAGCCGACTTGTCAAAATCTTCGAACTTAAAGGATATAATAGATTAGTCGAGGAGAATTTTATGGACGCTTAAGTCGACGAAAGTGTCTTACGCTTAGTACTACATTCACTAGCCCTCGCGATCGCGAACAATAATAGTTAAATACCTTTTCTCGATATCTAAGCCCGTTGTCTTACTAGCTACTATAGGCTTTTAGCTAGGTTACGGTTTTTGGACGTAAACGATTAATAGTAGACAGTACGGCTATTCGCCGAAAGTATGTATAGTACAAAAGCCGTATATTGTAAGTACATTCTAATATAAGTAGCTCTTCCTACCGTAGACTACTAGCGGAAAACCGAGGGCTTTACTAACGAGCAACCCTTCTCTAACGGGCAGATTTTTCGTAGGATCCGGTAATACTACCTTAAGGCTATAGATACCGAAGAGAGGAAATAGTAGGCTCGGCTCTCGGAGACAAAACGTAAAGATCTACGACAGCTAATTAAGGACGACATTACTATCGATGCCTTCGATACACTACTAAAGTAGCTAGGTCTCTAGGAGCCTATTAAGCTAGGCTCTTTATATCGGCTACTAACAATAAAGTATAAAGAGGTATGTATCTTTCCTCTAGGTATAGTATGTAGTCCTAAAACAAGAGCGTAGGAGCTACGAAGCTATATACGACACGTCGAGAGAACATAGACTACGATACTCGACTCTACTACCTATAATAGTAATACGGTCGACATCCTAACGGTACGCTAGCTCGAAGGTCTTTGCCTAGGACTCTCTACGACTAATACTACCGAGGCGAGACGACTTATAGACAGCCGAGCGATATTTTAATCGGTGTCTAGCGATTAGGAGAGAAGGACAATACTTACTAACGTACTTTCGACAAATTGTATAATACCGAGCCTATATACATTCTTCGAGAACCTAAAGTATATCGAGCCTTATATAAAGATCATGCGACACCTAATCCTAGGTAAGTAGCGGCGGTCTATTCGCTAATCGCTCTAGGTATACTATTTCCATTCTAATAGCTTACAAGTTTAGTACGGGGAGAATAATATACGTTAACATAATTGCGAAGATATAGAGGGTCGACGCGATCTCGGATACTAGTAGCTTTAGCTCTTTACTCTTCGCTACTATCCCCGGATAGTTAATGTTACTACACGTATAGATGCTAATAAATATAAGCCTATAGCTCTAGAGCCTAATCCGATTCTCTAGTAGCGCTTCGGGTAGCTTACAATCGATTTAGGGTTTCTTACTCCTACTACGCGAGAACTCTCTTTATTAGATATATATAGCGACCGAGTGAAGCAATTCTTAGGTACTAAGCTAGGGACAATAGATTAAGGAGTTATAGATAATCTTTTACGTCTTTTAAAACGATATAGTACACATCCCTCGGACGGTTAACTTAGGTCTCTCTCGAGTACTAATCTAATACTACTCGAACGCCGCTACGGTCGCCTATTTACTAAGGACTATATAGTAACACGGCCCTTTTTGTTCTTACTATCTATGTTCTAACATAGACTATAGGATACGGCTTCGGACAGAGAGCTGTCTCCTCTCTTCTATTGTCGAGACCTGTTCCTAAATTTCTTTTCTAATCCTCGCGTAAGATCCTGTACTGTCCTTTCTTAATAGACGATAACTAACTACGTATAGGTACTTTATACCGAGTTTTCGGCTTTACGAGCGCCTAAGACTACAAGTAAACAGATATAGGACTTAGCGATACTAGCCCTAAGCTATATAAGATGCGAAGAGCTATAGGCGAAGATCGAAAGTACCGTTAGTAAGAACGTCTACAACTACGCTACGTTAACCGCGGAAAATAATGTCGTAAAGAAGGAGCTAGCGAGTATAAAGGAATCCTATACTATTTCTAGGAACGAGATTACGCGGCTACGAGACTAGATATCGCAGCTCTATATAGAGAGCTCCGAGACGGGCGAGAAAGCATCTACTACGGAACTGAAGTTACGGACTTTAGAAGACAGTATAAGTGTAGAGCGGCGGTACTTCGAAGACGAGAAGACTAAGTTTAACTCTGTTTTAGCCGACTACGAGTAGCGCTTTAAGGACCGCGAAGAAGAGCATATAAAGCTCCTCTTAGCTATAGATACCGAGTAGCGACTGCGCCTATAGTAGTCGAAATTAGAGGCGGAGCAACGCGACCTATAATACTTAGTAGGCACATTAGCTCTCGAAAGGCGGAATAATAGCCTCGAACTCGAGAATATAGAACTTCGTACCTTATGCATTACTACTTCGCGACAGAAAAGCGAGTATAAAGCTACAATTCAGAACCTAAAGGATAAGCTCTCTAAAGCTCGAAGCCGATAATAGGCTCTAGAAGGACAAGATCGCTAGAATCAAGCTACTATCTAATAGTTACGGCAAAAGAGGGCTAAACTAGAAGCAAATCAATCGGGAACGCCCTAAGTTAACAATAATGTACCGCTACAGAGAAGATTCGCGTTCGAAAGAGCTTTACGGGACTATATTAACGTTATTTATTAACTAGAAGACGTAATAAGCTAGAAGCCTAAGAACTATCGTATCTTACTTCGCGGAGAGTATACCGATAGTAACTAAAACATAATCCGCCTTTGTAGCGTTCTTCTAGGTCTAGACACAGCGAGATCCGTACTTTCTAGCGAAGGACTCTTGTAGCCTTCCTTAGGTCTTAGGCCGGCGCTATCTTTCTATCTTAGGACAAGTCTATTAACTCTTAAGGTCTTGCCCTAGAACGAAGTTACTTAGGAGTCTATTAGTAGCGAGTAGGACGAAAGGTGTTAGCTGTTAGTAGTAGTACCCTAGAGCTTAGGGCTACCGCCGTTCCTCGACCCTTATACGACTAATAATAGTAAACGACGGTTGTAATATTATAAGTTATAGACATTAGGTAGTGATCGGCGATCTACCTAACGAGATATACATAATTGAAGGTATTAAAGTACATAGAGACGCTTCCCTTTACCTTAGACATTATAATCTTAACTGTATTCGTGTAACCGTATAGATTGTAGCTCCCCGCCCTCGGGAGTAAATTTATTATATAGAAGTAGAAGGTAGTAGTTATAAAATTCTCTATTAGCCTTGTTTACTAAGTGTTATTACGACGAGAGATCAACCTTTAGTGTAGTCCGCTTCGCTAGAGGGCGAAGACGAGAAATCTTTGCCGGCTTTATACGACTACTTAAAGCGGGTAGTGTTCTATCGACCGGCGGGTATAGTCGTAGCCGCGGTAAAAGGTCGATACGGGCGTTAGCGTTATACTTGTAGGACGCTTAGCTACTAGAGAGTATAGAAGGCAAAGCTACTACTATCTTAGTGTTTAGGGGAGAGAAATTAAAGGCGGTCGTAGGAGAGCTACTCCGTATAGGCGTATGTTCTAGATCGACATACCCTATGTCCGTTAGCTACTAATAACTTAGTACTACCGCGGCAGCTACTACGGCCTCTTCCTCGTCCTTACTAACGTTACTATTGTCCTCGAAAATAGCGTCCGGCTAAGCGTAAATCATTTTTGCTTCCTCTATCTTACGATCCTCTTTCGCTTCGGTCTCTATACGGATGTCCTTTACGTACTTAATCTCGGCATTAGGCAATTTCTATAAGTCGTTAACACGCTAGCGATTGCTCGAATCATTGTACGGCCTACCTTAAAGTTAATCGGCTAGTTCGCTTTGTCCTCCGAGAGGAACAGTTACTATCTTCTATTATATTCTATTAGTACTACTACGCGACCCTTCTTAGGAGGATTGTGTATAAACACCCTCGAGAGATTATACGCTTTATTAAAAAGAGTCGCTACTCGCTCGCGCTTGACCTTAAAGAAATTCTGGAATTTAAGGCCTATTATAGACGTATAATTAAACCCGGATTGCAAGGAAGAATAAAGGGTCTCTTATACTAGTATAGCCGTAATATAATAGTAGTTGTCTCTCGAAAAGAGGGTGCTCCGCTAGACACTTCTCGATTCTAGGAATTGCGGCATAGAAAATAAGTTCCCGGATCCTAGTTTTAGAAGATAGTTCTAGAATCTAGTATCGCCTCTACCGAAGAATCGTATATAAGTACGCTTACGTAGATCGAGCTACGCTTCGCCTTAATCGCACCTCAAAATAGATCTAGGTACAGCTTACAGTACCTTAATAGGCGTAATCTTCGTATTGTTTCTAGGCTAGTATGTCGCTACCGCTACGGTCGCTATACGCCGGCGCGTAGTACGGATCCTATAGAGGCATGTGTTATAGAAACTGTTACTAACCAGACAAAAGGGTACTAGCGACTTTAGTATTATCGACGGAATTGCCGTACTTAGCCTTATCGCGGGAAACATTATTACGTGCCTAATAGATGTTTTATTAGCCGCCGAGCTTACGCCTCGCTTCGGTATCGTCTCTATTATTAACCTAGTGCCCCTGTTCTTAGGTAGTAGAAACAACATTGTCGTAGCTACGATCTTCGGCCTACCGCTCTAGTCTTATCTAGTCCTTTATCGCTAGCTTAGAAGGGTATTCGTAGGCGAGGTTCTAGGGCACATTTTGGTACACGTAGCGACTAGGGGGTGGAACACTATAGCTATCGACTAACTTGTAGTAAGCTCCTATCTAGCTACTATATACTAGTAAGCTTACTTGTACTAGCTGTTAGCCCTAGTCGGAGTAATCCTACTAATGTCTCTCCTCTAGATCCGGAGAGTATTCTACGAGGTCTTCCTAAAGTCCTACGTCGTACTCGCTCTAGCGCTTATTAGCTGTCTATAGTTCTATACTCGTCCTTAGAGCACTCTTACAATTTCCTGTCTTACTACGTTATCCGTATTATAGGCTAGGTAAGGCCTATTATAGGGACTACGACTTGTCTATCGTAATGTTAGGGGTCAGGCTGTTACATTATATCCCGTAAAGTACTTTGTTAGCGACGGTTTACCCGAAGAGGTCGTTACATTAAACATTAAGGTAGGCCGTCCTTAGAACGTCTCGCCCGGTTAGTTTGTCTATCTAACAGTCCTAGGGTGCCTATACCGCTTTATTAGCAGTCTGTAAGCCCATCCCTATATAGTAGCTTAGGTTAAGGAATCTACGTCTAACACACTATAGAAGCTTTACTTCCTTATCGCTTGTTAGAAAGGATTTAGTAACTATTTACGATTATATAAAGGCAATGTTAGTACGATTGTCGACGGCCTATACGGAGGTATCGGTAATATCAAAGTATACGACAAACATCTTTTTATAGCGAATAGCGTCGGGATAGCTACGTATCTACTCGCTATTCGCGATCTACTCCGTATATATAATAATTAGACCTCTCGAGTTCGCCGGATCACACTACTATAGCTTATCGACAAAGAAGGTAAGTAATTATTAGTTCGCGGATGTCTATAGTACTAACGTTTCCCTAAACATAAGCAATAGGCCTCGGCTATGCTTAAAACCTTAATAGTACAAGACTATCGCAAAATCTTTACAGTTATCGTCTTTAATTAACTAGACATAGTAGCCGTCGCTCGGACGACATTAAAGGTACAAGATCGATAGTATAGAGTAGCTAGCCTACTTAACATTAGGTGGGTCCTCCGGTAAGAAGTAAACGCCGAGGCAGGAACGATAGCGCTCTCGAGTATAATTATCCTATAGCTTTCTAGACTGTACTAACGTACTTAGTATACGGCAATCCGCTGTTCGAACAAGGAATTCGTAAAGCTATTCGTACTTTACCCGATAGCGTCGACCTTATCACCTCTTACTTTAGTGTTTAAGGCTACTACTCCTTTACTAAGTACCGTACTCAATTTACGACGATTCCCGCATCCTTCTCGTTCTAACTTTCTCTTCTTAGAGGGGGCAAGCGGCCTTGTTAAAGGATACGGCGACTAGTAGTATTACAATTTAGTAGTAGCCTTAGTCGTACATTACTTAGTACTACTCGCTGTATCTTTAGTAGATAAACTCGTACTCGATCGTACTTCGATACAGTCTAACTCTTCGTCCCCGGTACGCCCTAGTTGTAGTTCTTACTCGTATCGGATCTGTCCGTTAGTACTATTACTACTTCTAGGTATCCCAAAATATATTGCCGACGGGAGCGGTTCGGTAGTTACACCGTAGTAATAGCGAACTAAGGTATACTATTAGACAAGCTATAAAGGAGATGGGCCGTACTAGGCGATAGTAAGGAGGCATACTTAGATGTCTAAAGGAATGCTATTAAGGATCTAATAGTTACTTAGCGGGCTAGAGTACAGTAATCTTAGGTAAGAATTTAGGTCTATAGTAATAACTGATACTACTACTATATATAGCTACCTTACTATTAAGGGAATTTATATTATAGTAACATTTATATAGATTTCCCGTAAGATCCTAGGGTCCGACCCGAAGCCTAATAAGGCGCGGACCTACCTAGCCTACTATGTCTATCGCTCTACGCTAGTAAGAGCTCGTCGTAGAGTAGGCGTGTAATTTTGAGTTTATAGCTCCGTAGCCCGGATTACGGACACTACGTCCTTCGTGAACCTAATAGTAGTTCTAGGTGGGAGCTTAGGAAATCGAGGCGCGTATAACAGGCTTGTAAACAAGCCTACAATATCGAGCGTTAACTCGCCTAAGCTATCTTAAGTCTCTCTAGCGGTATCGTCTACAACCTCGAGCGTAGTCGCTCTATCGTTATCCTTATGTAAAGACTACTAAAAGCATTCTCCCGACGATAACGATAACGACTCTATGTTTGTCTTATTAGTCGTCGCTAGACTCCGTTGTTCGGTCTCTACGTAGGGGGGAGATGTCTACGCCCGTCGGATAAGGCTAAGTTTCTTTAAACATTAAGTATTAGTACAACTCGAAAGACAAAGGGTCTGTATACTTACGACTGTCTGTAGCAACTTTCGCCTCTCGTTACGGAGCTCGTAGTCTATGCTTCGAATATGTCTACCGAGTAGTACCTCTAGTTACCGGGGAAAGAAGCTAGTATATAAGTTCCTCTACTAGTTATAAGAGCGCTATCGCTTGTCTAAAGGTAAGATTAACTGTATGGAAGGGGATGTACTAATCGTAGACTTGACCGGAATCAAGTCCTACGTCTAAGCCGTAGATCTACTATATTTAGATCTTAGCTACTATATCTAGACTCCGGAATCTCGATCTACTACACAGGAACCCGAATTCCGGTTCCTCGATACGGGTGTTCTATATTAGCGAAGAATCTTGTTACACCTTATAAGAAGCTTTAGTCTAAGCCCTAAAGGTGTTACTAGGACGATTATACTAACGAATCTCACGACAATGGCTATAGCACTACAATAGATAATATCGAACTTATCGTAGTAGCGCCGGGCGGATGTCGTACTTATACTATTCCTAAGAACGCCTTATCCCTTTGATCCGGTACGAAGCGTAACTTTGCCTAACTACGAGACTAAGTCTTCTAAGGAAGGCTTAAGCACTAAGTTAGACTATATACTAGAGCCCGAAGAGCTGGCTCTTAGTCTAGTAATCGTCGACTACTCGCTAGCTTCGTAATCCTAAGCGAATAATAACTTTAGGTATTTGTAGGGCGATTTCGATATACTATATAACACTCCGAGTTAGACAGACCAAGCTAATAGCGGCGTAGGTATCACTAGCTACTAGCCTCGCCTTAAGCTAGATTTAGCTTTCGATAGTGTTAGGATGTCTTAAGCGAACGACGTATAGCTTCTACTCGTATTCAACCAGTTATAACAGACTGTTAACGTCCTATAGCATGTTACGGCATCGCTAAAAGACTCTCGGGCTAATCGTAAGAGACAGGCGTCTAACTATTATGAATGTAAGGCAGTCTATTCACCCGTAACAGCTCTAATTAACAAATTTTATAGTACCGGCTTAGAAGCGGATAAAGTCTGTATCGCTATCCCTACTATATACCGACGCTAGTACATCTTACTACTAGGTTCCGACTCCGGTGTCTCTAGAACGACATTTTATAAGGGTTATTATAGAGCGCCCGACCTACGAAGGTACTATGTATAAGGTTACATAGCGGGACTCTTAGGTACATACATTAAAGCTACCGGAGATCGAATGGATACGCGTTACGTACGTAGAGCGCTATAGTCAATCTTAGGAAGTTACGCCTACCGCTACTTAGTAACTAGTCGCTTGAATTGTTTGATCGCTACAGATTTTTATCCGTCGATAGTAGATAGATCCGTAGTTACCTTAAAGACGTATACACTAAGAATTTAATGCCCGTTTACTACATTCGGGTTCTCGAAACCGTTTTCGTTCAGACGCCGAGGCTAGGAACCTAAACTTAGGTCTTAGGCCTATTTCGACGAGCGTTCGCTAACTATAAAGTACTAGTATTACACATAGTGTAGAAGTAGTTGCCGCTATGTTGTCTTTTACTATATAGTCTTACATTACATACGCTACAGTTGCAGCCACGTACAGCTAGGTGGAACGTTTAAATAAGGTTTATACTAATAGTTATCTATCGGATAAAGCTAGCTACCCGAGACTTTATAGTATGTCTATAAAAAGCTAGCTATATTTAGGCGCTAACTCCTACTCTAGTTCCTAGAGACGAAGCATTCTTAGATACTAATATAACGTATAAGTTGCCGCCTAGCGATCGTCCGCTACAAGTAATACTACTATCTAATCGAATATGTATACGTACTTAGTAACACGCTATACAGTCAATAGGATGGCCGAGGCTAGCGACACAGCCTAGAGCATCCGTAGTCTTATAGTATAACGAGAATAGCTACATTACGAAGCTATACAATAATAGCCTATATAAGCTAAGTCCTAGAAGAGTCTTTATATACGGTATATAGATAAGTCGACCCGATAACGCTTTGACCTAGGTACATAGAGCTTAGAGCTACGATAGGAAGGGTAGTAACTAACGAGGGAAACTACTATTATCGTCTAGCTTTAATAATAGCAAGTGTTATTAGTACGCTAGAAACACATCCGGTATTACGTAAGTAAGAGAGCGTTTGTATCCTACGCTAGGATTGGCGGATCTAGCTTAAGACTAGAACCTTTAGTATAGAACCGAAGTGTCGATACCTCGTAACGCCTATACCGGTCTTTATACCTTGTATTAGGTGTAGGATTAGCTATCCTACGACGACAACGGCGATGTATTAAAGCCCTAGATCTATACGACTTGCATGGACCTTATAGTTACGCAATTATAGTTCGAAGCTAGATTCTAGCCCGTCGTTACGAGCCCGCGTTTAGTATTTCCATCCTAATACCTTATTACTTATATAAAAATAGTCCTATAGTTGTTATAATAATACATGATTCCCGTACTAGTATCTACTCGTACGCGGAACCGGAGGGTTGTTAGCGTCGCGCCCGTCCTCGCTCTAGAATGTAGAGTTTTTGTCGAATACGGTGTAGCCGGTTATACGCCTCCGTATCGTAGACTCCCGGGCGCGTTCTGTCGCTCTACGGCGGTTCCGTAAATTGTTATAGCCTATAACTATCGATTTAAGAATGTAGTCGTACGCGTACTATTCTCGTTAAAGTTAATATTAATTATCTAGACGGGACTATGTATAACAACGCGAGTATCGCGGAATTGTCGCGTTATACGGAGCCCTTCCTCGATGCTTCTTTGTTCGGCGACCCGAGCCGTCGGTACCTAACGTCTTAATAAGCTACAAAACTGTGTTACTAACCGTAAACAGGTTACTTATAGCGATTATACTTAACTTCTAGTAGTAGCGATAGTACTATCTACTACCTCCTATGCCCTACCGCCTATTAGACCTATTCGGATGCTTTTCCGTAGACTAGCCAAATCGCCTAATACATTAGCTTAGTAAGTATAGTCCTACTCCTAATTATAGTTGTCTCGTATACTTGCCTACCGATCAAGCTTAATAACAACTATCTTATAGTATACTCGGCTACGGCTATACTCTTATTGTCTTTCGGGTTTACTATTACACTTTCTAGCTAGGAGGACTAATACTAGGATGCTATTACACCTTATAACATAATAACATCTATAAGATACGCCGCGAGCGGCGTCCTTGTTATGCTCGGCGGCCTATTAACAGTTACTTGGCTCTTCGTACGATGTCTCTTAATGAATCTATAGATCTACTAGGATGTCGTACCTAATTATCGATTCTTTACTACGGCGTAGATACTCGGGTAGGGCGTTCCTACGATGCTGTCCTCGGTTACCTTAGTAACGACTAGCGTTAGCTTTCGGTTTAGTAACATAGTATGTTACGTTAACTACGATAAGTTAATAATCGTATTCTAGGGACCTCTCTTAGGGATAGCTAGAGCGGCTGGATTATTCCAGGTGTAGACTGTCTTATACTACATGTATGTCTACGTTAATAGCTAGATTAATACTAGCCCTTATAGTAACTCTTCTACCGAAAGAGTACGATTATTAGTCGCGGTTTACAGGCGAGTTACGAAGGTCTTCCAGCTATAGTAGCGAAGTATCTGCGTCGTAGGCTTCTTACTTACCGATATAGTCTTCTTTACTCTTATATTTGTTTCCTTAGACAGGTTATAGGAGCTTAGACTACGAAGTCGACCTCCATTTCGACGATAGGTACTATGTCTAATTAATACTCGGGACCGCGCTATATATAGACCGGAACTCGAGCCGTTACTAGTACCCGAGTAGGTTATTATTACCGTCCTCGTACTACTAGCGCTAATCGGTGTTTAAGTTTTCACTCTTCTAACCTACCTAGAAGTGTTTAATACCTAGTTAAATTTAAGATAGAGAGTGCCCTCTATTAAGCGCCCTACCGTAAATGTTACAATCAGGATATAGAGGTTATGCTTACGCCTAACTACTAATTTAGACGATGTTTAGTCTTTTATTATATAGGTAAGCTATAGTTTATTAAATGGGACAGTATACTCTAAGATAGCGAGAAGACGGTACAATAGAATTCTATTATAGAGAACGAATTCGCGAATCTACTCCGAAGTATCTCGCGGGTTCTCCTAAGTATAGTAGACAACTTCGATCTTTTTAATCTTCTATAGTTAAGCTGCCGAAGTACCTAGACGAGCCTCGTATATATAACCTAGACGACAGACTAGTAGTATACTCGGACCGTTAACATTACCTAGGCACTTGCCGGCGTCGGTCTCCTTACCCCGGCTAGTAGTTTATTTATGAAGGCGATAAGCCTCGTTTTATAACCGTTCGACTATACGGCGGAAGAGGTTATACTTCGCGGCTTCTGTCTTACCGATAATCTCTAGTAGATCGGGGGTCGTAGTTAACACCTCTAAGCGAAGTACGCCGAAAGCTAAGAAAAGACACTCTCGTACCTTGTTATGTTCTACGAAATGTATATTATGAATCTTAGTAAATCGCTTTAGGACATCTATAGCTGTAGTCTTGCCGGTACGTATAGATACTACTACTTCTAACAATATCTAAATGTAGATTAAGCCGTTAATTACATCTTACGCGTCGTCCTCGTTAGATATCTAGTAGTCTAACGCTTGTAGGTCTATAAGCTAGTACGCTCTCTCTACCGTCTGTATAAAGCGCTAAGTCCGTAACTACTAAAGCTAGTCTAACCCGTACAGATTATCTCTAATATATAAGACGAGGTTCTATATATCTTACTCGGGTAAGCTTAGTTCCTCTACGGCTTGTAGGACTTAGGTAGAAGTACTATTATTAAAAACCCTATTATTTCTCTCGTTAAACTATCTTAGGAACTTCGCTAGTGCCTTATTACTTAGACAGGCAAACTCCATTTCGTTTTTAATATTAAGTCTTTACGGTATATAAGAGTTATAGTAAGGAATAGTCTTAATCGAGTTACTAATTAAGCTTACTTAGGACATTAGAATAGCTTAATTTGTCCGACAGCTTCGCTGTTACTTTATAGAAGTCTA